TACTTGGAAACTGAGGTGTGCTTTGAGTGTATTCTTCCAATGCAGTGTAGTAATTACTGCGAGGAGAACAGTCTCTCTAGCTTCTTGATTTGTCTGCAATGAACCAATTGTATATTAAACAAAATAAAGAATCTTAGTTCCCCTGTTATCCATATTATTTTGAATGTGAAATTGTACTTTTATTTGTGCCAATATTTTAATTTTTCCTTTAAGCAGTGTTATGTAGAACTTCTATTGACCTGCACTGGTGCGTTACATGCAACTAGAGCAAAATGAATATTGAACTCTTTGGAAAGGACCATCTCTTGTTGGTAGAGATAGCAGAAAGATGTTTATATACACTGATTTATTAGATCAAGAATAAACATCTATTAAGTGTTGCTTTGGATTGGAAATAAGAATAAAACAGTTTTTGCTTTTGTCTAATTAAGCTGAATTTTACTCTGTATATGTTGGTTGATATAGAGAAAAGGATTTTTTTTTTTTTCTTGAAAGCAGTAGAAAAATTTTCTACTTTTAAAAACTACAATTCACCCTATTTTCTCTTTTTTTATATTGCATCGTGCCCTCTCTGTCTAGTTCTGAAGTTTACATCATGCTTTAAGTAAAACATTTATTAGGAGGTATGAATGTTTAACCTTTAAATGAATTAAGTCTAGCATCTATCAGATGTGTGGGTTGCAGGAAGTGAAATTGGCAAGCAGTTTGTACTTTAGCTAAGTTTGTGACATTTATTTTATACTGGTGGCCACTTAGAAGGCATGAATTCATTTTCCCTCATTCAGCTCTAGGTTAAATAACAGGGCAAACTGGGCACTATAGCCTTGGATGACAGCCAGTCTATGATGGAAAATTCTGAATTCAAGGCAATCTGGCCTGTTGACATCTATCGCAGAATTGTGACCCTTCATCTAGAGGTACTTAGTGTTTCATGACAGTCATGCATATCATGAGAATCTGTGCTTTTTCTTCCTTGTCCTCCTATTTATATAATATAATGATTAGAACCTATATTTTCTGGTGGACATCAACAATTCAACAGACATGGCCAGGGATTGAACTAATATCTTCAAAGCATTAAAGTATAACAATGTTTCTGTCTATATTTTTGAGATGAGGTATGGTAATTTTTTACACTATTTACATTGTTTGGACTGTTGTCTTCATCTTTGTTGCAATATCCACATTTTGGCTGTTGTATGCTCCGGCCTTCTTCAGGTGATTGGAATTTCAAACCAAACCCTTTATTTTGTCCACCTCAAGGACACATGATCCAGTGGATAAAAGCAGAGGTGAACAAAAACTTGGAGAGTTGAGTTAAAGGAAAATAACTGATACTGAGATGTCTGGAAGAGGCATGGCATGTGGAAATAGAACAATCTAATCTGGTGGACAAAATAAAGGGTTTGGATCAAAATTCCAATCACCTGAAGAAGGCTGGAGTGTACAATGGCTGGAAAGTGAATATGGCAACAAAGGGGAGGACAACAGTCTGAACAATTTAAATAGTGTAAATATAATGATGTTGCTAAGAAAAATTTTTGATTTAGTTACTTATGTGAAAAATTTTTGATTTAGTTACTTATGTCTTACAAATTGGCAAATCTCATTTCAGTATTAGTTGCAAGCAATAACATCTGGGATTCAATTCCTTAGTCAAAGTATTCAATAGTCTTATAAGCAAATGATGCTTTTACTATCTTGGTTACAGAAGCCATGCATCAAAATCTATGAAATGTCAAAAAATAATTGTTTAAGTCATTCTTTTTCCCATAAAATCAATGCTGATATTTACTCTTTTTAAGGATTATTATCATCAGAGTGTTCAAGTGACAACAGAATGACCATCTAGTATCAGTCTTTGAATTAAAGTACTGTTGGGTGGTGCCCTTACAAAAAAAAAAAATTCTTTTATATGATGTGATCATGGATCTCCCCATCTTCCTATCCTTTATAACACCAAGTAATGTTTGTCCCTTTACCATCCTTCTCAGTACCTGTTCTGCCATCCATTTACATAACCTTCTGAGGTATGTTATTTTCTGTTTCCCTTCTACCTTTCTTGCTTTCACTATGTCCTGTGAATGTTACATTTTCCAAGCCCTCTTTCCTCATTGTGTGTTCCACATATTTCAGTTGTCTCTTTCTGAGTGTCTTTTACATTGTTGTTTTCCATAAGACTTCTTTGTTGCTCACATGTTCTGTCCATGTTATTCTCAGCATCCTCATGCAGAACCACATTTGTTACTTCAAGTCTCCTCTTCATATGTGATGAAATTGCCCAGCATTCACTACCAAACAGGAGGATTGATATTATATAACAGTTGAAGTCACATTTTTGTTCCTAAAAATTTATTCTTATCTCTTAATCCTTTAACATCTGTCTATAATGGTTACTGAGACATTAGGTTTACAAGTCCAAAAAATTCACTCACCGTGTCCCCCAAGGACACATGACCCAATAGATAAAAGTGTCGGTTGAGTGATACTTTAGCGTCCCACAGAGGAGTCGCCATGTAAATAAAATATGAAAGTATATAGGAAGAAATTGACACCAAAAATTGAGTTACAACAAAGGCAGTTCTTGATTAAAAGGTCAAAATTTTATTATTGGTTACAACCAGCAACATTTTACAATATGTACAAAGTTGATTTGTAAGAACTGAAAGTGATTAATTTTGTAGATAAAGTAGTGAAATATCAAAATGAATACAAGTGTTCCAAAGTGTGTGGATATGCAAAGATGGTTAATTTAAGAGTCTTGAAAAGCAAGCTAACCACATGCAAGTGGTAAGTCTATGGAAATGTTCCTGTTTGATATAGTCCTTAATGAAAGGGAAAAATTGTGGTTCAAACTTGTCGACATTGAAATTAATAATGCATTGGTAAATGACAAATCACAGTTCATAGAATAAAGCACAAATGAAATCTCTTACATAAAGTGAGTTGAGACTGGTAAGTCAAAATCCAAGATGACAGTGTGCAGGATGAAGATGTTGAAGAAGGCATGCTGTTAAGTAAATCCAGAAATTGGCGGGAAACCAAATCAAAATGCTGTGTTGCTAAATAGAATTCAATATGGCGATGTGCTGATGAAAATGAGCACCAAAAATGTGATGTGATGTTGCTATGTAACCAATATGATAGCATTAGCCATCATAATGGTATTTCTGGAAACAAATGTTAAAAGAATTAACATGCAAAACCAATGAATAAATTAACAAAGCAACAAGCATGGATTTAAGTGAAGCAAAGGACTGGGTTATTCGACAGAGATACTGGGTTGCTCAACTGCCAATTCAGAATGACGGCAAAGAAAGGAAAAGGCAGCATTACTGCATCCTTCTGAAAGAGAAGAAAAGGCAGTATCTGCATTTTTCCAAGAAGGAAGAGGGGGGGAAAAAGGAAAAAGAGCAAAACAAACAAAACAGGAAGAAGTGACTGTTTCACCATAAAGGTGGAAGTTGCTTCTATTTCCTTCAGGCAACTCTTCCAGTCAGTAAGGGATCAATACTGTCGTAATGACAGGATTGCACATAACCCTGGGGAAAGAAACCTGAAAAAGGTAAAAAAAAAAAAAAAAAAAAGAAGCTCTGTGTATATGTAATGTTGTTGCAGTCACATAACTTTGCTTGTCTCTCTTATTTCTTAAGAAATTAAATAGATGATTTGAAATCCTCTTTTCTTAAAGCAAAGATTCTGTATGAACAGTTTCTGCAAACTGTTCATACAGGTTTTATGTACTGAATATACATGATTTCCAAAAAATTAAAGGTTTTGTTAGGATTCAGAAATACTGGTACTAAGAAATCCGTAACAAAACCATTGTCAAACAAGGGAGCTAATCCACTCTTGGTTGTCTAACCACTGGATTTAACAATACAACGAAAGTGTTGTCAGTTCTAGCCACGGCAGAGAGAGTTACTAAAGGAAATTAATTGAAACAGATAGCCATGTGGCATTAGAACAATCTACCCCCATGGAACTAAATAAAGGGTTCGGTTAAAAATTCCAATGTATATCACCTGAAGAAAGTCGGAGTGTACAATGTGAATATATTCCAGGTATTTCAGTTATCTCTTTCTGAGTCCGAGCAGTGTAAATAGTGTAAATATTCTTAATACTTTGATTGTGCGTAATAAAGTTTGGTAGATGTATTTATAGATGTTTTGCAATTTCAAGATATCCACTTTGTTTCTTTTTAAAGAGTTGGATTTGTTCAAATTAGAAAAAAAATTTCTTGCTTTCTATGTCTGCATCATATGAAGAGAAATGAAAGTTAGTATGTGTACCATCTCTACTTTCAAATATATTTTCACTTTAACATATTTTGACCACTTGAGATAGCACTTGCGACATTTTTTTTTTTTTTTTTTTTTTTTTTTAAGGCAATTCACTCCAAGAGTAAGACAGGAGTGCCACTGGCACGCAAGGGGTTACAGAGGATTGAGAACAAGTGTAAGCATAAAGAAGCGTGTTTGAGAAAAGGATACAGAGGGGAACAAGCTCAGGGTGTCAGATGTCGATTGACATTACACTTGAATAATTGAAGATTATAGTCATTAAGGAAGAGAATTCCACAGATGGGGGAGTGTGGGAGGATAAGTGACATTTAACTGTTTTGACAGTGAAAGGGTGGGACCAAGATGCCAACCTGGTAGCTTGATTACATTCATGTAGTCCAGGAACCAGCGAAAGTAGCTTGTCAGAACAGTTGCTGTGAAAAGATTTGTAGAAGAGACAGAGGGAAGCCACAACACATTTGTGAGATAGTGAGTGTAGACTAGATGCCAGATCAGGATCTATCATCTTGCATATTCATCTCTGGATTTTGTCATGGTTGGGAGTTTTCTTTGTAGTATTAACTCTGAATATAAAATGAATGAATTTAAGAAACTATACAAGTTAATACCAGTGTTCATGAATTTATGCTGTCAATGCCACTGGACTTGAGATTTTAGCATTTTAAGTATGACTTCAATACAATTTTGAAAGGCTTTCAGCCATGTCAAGTCGAAACATCAGTTTTCCTATGATCACCAAAGTTAAGCAACATTGAGCCTGGTCAGTACCTATATGGGTGATCGCTTGAGAATACCAGGTGCTGTAAGCTTGGGTGTGTGGGGGTAGTGTAATGGATCCCAGTTTGGAAATGGGAGAGCAGAGTTCCAATTCCAGTTAGGTTTGTTATAATCACTTACACTTAAATACACCTTGGGAGTGGTATGGCTCCACCTTTTCTCTTTTCCCCCACTTATGGATTAAATATAACTTGTATAAATCATTATCCCTCCCCCCCCAAAAAAAGTTACAAATCCTGAAATATTTATCTGGCTTTAAATAACCTGCAAAAGGTTAAGACGTTAAAAAAAAAAAAAAAAAAACAATTTTCCATTCTTATCAGTTTTAATTTATTATCTTAATTCATTAATTTTTAAAGCCAATTTACCCTTCAAAAAAAAAAAAAATAAACAAAAAAGGGTAAAACATGTCTTTTGCAATTTGAGATTTTTTTCTGCTTTTTATTACAACTCTCTGGTTATCGGTTTCCAATGACTTAAGTGCAAATTCCTGATCTTTGGGAGTCTCTTACTATGGCAGTACCTTAATGGTTATATAATTACAGTTCAATCAGTAGGTAATCTATCCCCCCCCATGCCATATCTATTGGTTTCTGTTATTTGCACTTGTCTTTCAATTTTTGTAAAGAGTGTTTTTGTCGAGTCAAATCTATTGCAGGTAAATTCATTTTTTTTTTTTTTTTTTTTTTTTTTATGTATTACTAGTATTTTTAATATAAAAATGTACTTTCATAGTGTTTTGACCCCAGTTTGGTGGTTAACTATTTGCCAAGAGCTGGGATCCTAACAGGTGCTACCATCCAGGCTCATTGTAGACTTATGAACAACAGCAATTAAGAGGTGGTTCTATGCTTCTGAAAACCTCTCGATCAAAGGCCTTGCTGCCAGATGTAGTCCATCTTCATACCCAGGATGGTGTTTATTTGGAGGTTGTAGAATAATGTTATTTGTTACAACAATTAAGATAGAAGAATAACTAGTAAAAGATTGCTTTTTTATTTGAAATGATTTAAGAATGAATTAAGTCCACTTTCTCCAAAGATTCTGCCAGTAATTCTATCCCATTTATGTCACTGTTTTTTTTTTTTTTTTTTTTTTTTAAAAAGCAGTAGGTGTTTATTAAACTCATGATATCATGGGTGAGATTTATTAATCAACTGTCAACTTTCATCCCCACTAATGATTTATATAAAGGTGGATTTATAGGAATACATACAGCTTCAATCCCAGTCTAAAGATACCTTTTTATAAGACTGAAATGAACTTTGAACAATTTCTGTCAAAATTTCCTCTTTATCTAAGAAAGATTATTCATAATTTGGGAAAGTTGATCAATGAACTTAATCAACACAAAATGTCTGTCTTTAACATTTGGCTTAGAAAATATATAGTTGTATTGATGTGAGTTTGTGAAACCCAGGGTCACAAACTAACATCAACTAAATATATATATATATATATATATATATATATATATATATAGCTACCTATATGAGATTGCTAAAAAAAAAAAAAAAAGCATAGCATGATGAAAAAGACGCCAAACTTGATTTTTTAATCATTCCTAGCATGTCCAAAATTTTCGTTAAAAATCTTTTTTTTTTGAGTCAGCAAAATTGACCATTTTTTTTTTTTTTTTTTTTTTTTTTTTCTATTTTATAAAAAGACTGGAAATCTCACTTTGAAATTCTTTTAAATATCAATTATCATTTTTTCAAAACTTATTTTAAGAAAATCAGAAATTATGTTTATTTAAAATATTTTGAACCAAGCTTAACTTAGTTTCTACACTGAAAAGATGTTATTTGAAAATAAAACAAAGCAAGTCATAAACTTTTGCGTCACTTGACAGGTGATAAATGACATATTGACAGATTCCGTGAGGATTTGTTCTACGGAAGGAGAAAAGTAAAATAATTTACATTTATGTGAACAAATTATTTACCTTGTTATTTTTAAGGAAAACTTTCAGCACTCTAATTTTTTTTTTTTTTTTTTTGTACTTAGCTTTCACCTTTACGTTTATGATGCTTTATGGAAAATATATTATAAAGAAATTAAAATAAGACAGTTAAGAGTGAGATTAAATTTCATATTTCATAAGAAAGATATCTAATTAATTTATAGGTACCTTTCTTATAAAATTTTATCAGAAGTGTACATAAAATACTATAATTTTATGTACATTTATTACATTTTACTGTGTTATTTGTACGCTCTGGCCTTCTTCAGGTGGTTGGAATTTCGAACTGAACCCTTTATTTCGATCACTGGGGTAGACTGTTCTAGTTCCACGTGCCATGTTTGATGAATGTCAGTTATCAGTTATCTCCTGCTAATTTTCCCTCTGAAAGTTCTCCACTGCCTTAACCAGGTATTGAACTCACCTTCTTTGGGTCTGTCACCGGATCTAACCAACGCCTTTATCCACTGTGCCATGTGTCAGGACACATGGCACAGTGGATAAAGGCCGTGGTTAGATCCAGTGTAAATATGGCGACAAAGATGAGGACAATAGTCCGACTAATGTAAATACTGTACATAATACCTCATCTCAGAAATATTTATTTTTTATTTTATTTTATTTTTTTGTGGCCTAAAATCACCCAGTACAGTAGAAAATTATTGTAAATAAATGTAAATACAGTATCTATCTACATGTAGTATATTTTTAAGTTACTATATACTCTTAAATAAAGTTCTAAAGTTAAATCTGGAGTCTGTTGTTTCTGTGAACGTTAATTTGAGGTTTTACTGTATATTTATTACATTACATGGTCATCCCCTTTCTTTTTTCTTTTCTTTTTTTTATAATCCATTCTTAAAGAATCTAACTTGTCTGTCTAATACAAATAGTATATACATAGCAACCAACCCCAGATTAATAGAATATCAACCCACTATGCTGACTGACCACACAAAAATGAAAACATTACAATTCCTCTTACTAGACACACACATACACAATTATGAATACACATTAGCATCTTATGCCTGCTTAGACATAACAGAATATTTCTATGATTTTAATGCATGTGATACATGACTGACAATGAGAATTGATCCAAACAAAATTGAAAATATCAAAGTTCTGTCTTTTTTCTCTCAATCTCTGATGAAGCTTTAATAAAAGTGAAATGTGTTAGATTGATAAACACTTTCTATTTGTTCTTTTATCTTACATATCCTGGTTGTAGTTTACTACTAATCTGAATTTAAGCTTTTTATGTAGACAAGGTTTAGGTCTTTTATTTCTTCTCACTGATTTTACTGCTATTTCTATTACTCCTCAGGTGAGTTTTTTCTATATAAGCACTCCCCCCCCCACTTTTTATTTATGGCACAAAAACGTTGAACACTTGATTTGGTAATTCTATATTAAAAACTTGAGCAAGTTTTGGCTCTCAAACTGTGTAGTAAATTAAAAAAAAAATAGGAAGTGATTGTCAAAGTTCAAGAATAAATGTAAACATTTCTGACAGACGAGGACAATTATATGCATAATTGTCTGTTGATGCAATTGAATTGTCCTGTAATTGTACAAGGAAATTACTTAGTGCTCTATGAAAGTGATTTTTGAGCCAAAATTGGTTTAGTCAAATAATTACGAAAAACTTGCACAAAAGCAAACTTAAAAAAAAAAAAAATCTTTGTCTTGATAAGATTTTTCCTTGTTAGGTGAAATCGCAAATTACTTATGATTTAGGCTAGTTGGTTCGTTTCTTCATTTTTAAAAATGTTTCTTGTGTTGGAAGCCATCCAGGGGTTCCTTGCTAGATATGTGATCTTATAAGACTTCATTTATCAAATACTATTATTAATGAACTTTTTTTTTTTCTCTATGAGGACCATAAAAATAAATCTAAAGTTTACTAGTTGATTTGGTGGTGGTGTGGGGGAGGGGGGACAACTATTCTCTAAATCAAGATTAAAATGTAATAAAACAAGTTGGATTTAAAATTCATTATTCTGACTAATGAATAGATTAGTTTAGAACATGAGTTTGTCTTTAACTCCATAATAGTGTGGCTTTTATGTGGATGTCATTGGTTCATCAGTGAATTGAAGAAAGATTTAATTATGTGTCAATAATCTGAATTGTTTAATATTAAATTTTGGCTAAAATCAACGTTGTATCTAATTCATACTTCATTTAAAATATTTAAAAAAATTCATGTAGTGTTACAGATCCTAATTATCTACCTTTGATCCAAATATAATTTATGCATATTAGATCTCCATTTCTCTTGCCATTCCTGACCTAATCACTACATGGATGCATGCAATGTATGACCAAATTAACTATCAAGTAAGACTTTAATTTACTCTTTTTCCATATCTGCTAATATGTATTTGGTTCACTGTATTAAAAAAAAAAAACTATTGTCAAATGTTCTGTAAATGTAGATAGTTTTCTACATGCACACATGCCACATCTTGCTCTCTCTCATATATATATATATATATATATATATATATATATATATATATATATGAATTATTCATACAAAAAACAAATACAAAGGTTAATGATTTAATTGGCGAGAAATCCATCTTCGCGAACAATTCAAATAATATACAAAAACCCCCGAACCTGTTTATGAATGAAAAGATCCTTGTTTTATAAATTTCAGTTGCATAAGTTCTTATTATTTTTACAAGCTTTTGTCTGTTCCTACAGACATCATCAGGTATGGAATAGATTTTGTTCTTGTTTCTACTCTCAGTAATAAGAGGACAACGAAAATAGATGTATTGTAATCTGAAAAATGCTATGAGAAATGCGTTATTGTTTTGGAGCGTGCAATTGCAAAGCTGAGTTTGAATATAAATTTTAAGGTTGTGCGTTCTTGTACAAATATAGTGATGAGAGAATTCTTTTTTACTGGTAAATTTTCCGTCAAAGTGGCATGAACTATATTGTTCAATAATTACAGTAATGTCGCACTTATTATCCGAAAGTTGCGCTTGGATCAGTTATTTTAATTTCAATAAAGGTGCAATTAATTCACAAATTCATGAATTATTCA